AAGCCACAGCTCCTGGCACTGTTCGGCCTTACATTGCAAATCAAGAATTGCTTTGTTGCAAAGTTCTGCTTCTTTTTCAAAGTAGCCACTTCAGGTGACAATTCTGGGAGCCCTCTATGTAGCAACAGAGAGCTGGAGAAATATTAATTAGGCTTCTCGAAGCGGAAAAGGGATTCTCCCACAATTAGCATGCGAAGTGAATTAGCATTCTTTCCATTAGAAGCAAAGGGTTGTCTTAAACCAATCTTCTTGTCCCCATCCATACCAGGCAAAACCACATTCTTTTATCCAGGAAGCCTAAGATTATACAAGATTAGGTTTTTCTTGATCTCCCTTTCCATACTGATTGAATTGTTCCCCCTCACGCTTTCCACCAAATCCTGTTTCATGACATGGTTCCCATGGAAATAAGGATAAGGTCATTATTTATTTATTGTAGGTCATTAATAATAATAATAATAATAATAATAATATAGCAGCCTTCAATCGTATCCCCAGTTTACAAGAAAGAATAAAACAATAATAATAATAATAATAATAATAATAATAATATAGCAGCCTTCAATCGTATCCCCAGTTTACAAGAAAGAATAAAACAATTCATGTGTAAATGCAAACAAAACATAAAATGAAAAGGCCACACAATCACAAAAGCAGCAAAGAACAGCCAGCAAGGTTAAAATCATATCTGAAAAGCATGGGGAAATAAAAAGGCATTTGCCTGGAACCCAAAGTCTCCTCACTGATTTCAACAGGTCTTAAAAGTGCTTACTGTTGTTGCTTAGATTAACACCCTTTGGATATTACTGCTAGTGTTAATGCTTAAGCAAAGTCCCCCCCATACAGTCCTTTCCTGTTATTGTAATCTGTAGCCTAGACTATATACATGCTGTTACAAAATACCTTGAATGCCCCACCTGCATTAGATCAATGACAGCATCATAGATGGGTGATTCTCCCAGGATGAATGGGGGCAACTTGTCCCAGAAGTCCCTTTGTCTAGTCTAGGAGCAAGAAACCTCAGTTCTGGGAGTGAAATGTCTACGTGACCCTCAGGACTTTTCCCAGGCCACACCCCTCCTCAGGCTCAAGGCTACATATATTGCCCCACCCACTTTTTGTTGGTGGCAAAGGAAAAAATAGGTATATAAAGGATGAATTCCTGGAAGCTATGATCCAAGTTTGGGGCAAGTACCCCCACAGAACCACAAAATATGCAGTAAAATAAAGTGTGGAAATATAGACTGTTAGATCTTTAAATGTGCCCTTGTGAGTTCCGAAAGCTCCTCTCTTTCCCTGGCATAGATAAAGAGCACACGCTTGGTAAGTTTAAAAAATGGTTTACTTACAAACTCTCCAAAGGTCAGATTCATGTGCTTTTCCATACAGCATTCAGAAAAGTTGCACAGGCAGTAAAACTTGGTTTAGTTGCAAAGTGGTGATAGTTCCTAAATTATTGGTATAGGAACTCAAGAGCCATTTGGTCTGAGCCTGCAGCTGAACTTCTAAGGTGAACTTGATCGCCTAGTCCTTTCTCAGGTGAGCTAAGCCTGGCTTACTCTATGGTCTTAACCCCATCATGCATTAATTAGACTGAAGCATGTTGGTTATATGAGGCTGGCTATCCCACACTTTTCGCCTCTGGTCCTGCCCACCCTGCCATGTGCCCTCTTCCCCCAGGAGTTACCTGTGAGGGAATGCAGCTCATGGGCAGCCCTTGTCCTTGTTCCTGCCCTTTCCTTGTCCTCCTAACTTTTAGGGGATGTGTGTTGTCTTCTTTTTTCAATTTCTGTGAATGATGAACACAAGCACACAGGCAGAAATATCCCTGCCATCTTCACCTTAAAGGGTTCACCCAACGCCTGTCTATGTCCCCTCTCATACAACTGTGTGCTTTTGGAGAGATTTCCAGGATCACATATTTAGAACTCAGCCCCAGAGAAAGACAGAGCAGCTGCTGCAGTTTTACCGCTGACAAATGTGTCTCAGTTTCTGAAGAAAAAGAATCTCCCTTCTCAGACACACATTTGCAGCTCAGCAGGGTTTAACTTTCTTGTGCCATTTCCCCCCTAATCAACCCTGAACCTGCCCCATGAGCACTGGCGGGGTGGTATAGCTTTGCTATCCCAGCCTGGAATCTTGATTAGCGAAAGTTTAGAATGACTGGGAAGCCTAATTTTTAGAAGTTTTATCTTCTAGGCTAGTGCTTTCCAAACTGCATCCAGGGAAAGTTTATCAGGGGCTTCTTCTTAAGAAGACTGGTAAAGGTAAAGGACCCCTGACAGTTAAGTCCAGTCGCAGATGACTCTGGGGTTGCGGAGCTCATCTTGCTTTTAAAGGCTAAGGGATCCGGCATTTGTCCGCAGACAGTTTTTCTGGGTCATGTGGCCAGCATGACTAAGCCGCTTCTGGCGCAACGGAACACTGAAACCAGAGTAATAGCAGATAAACTTCACTGCAAGACTGTGTGGCCAATGTTTACAACCTTCCTCTGCAATATGCTGTAACGAGAGAGTATTGGGCATGATCAATGAGGATATGGTCTTATTTCACATCAGATGGGAATAGATATAGCTGAATAGATATAGCTTGAGCTCAGTGTGAACTCTTGCACATGCCCCTGATTTTTTTAAAAAAGTGCACAGGGGTTCCTTGATGGACAGGTCAATATGGAATGGGTTCCTTGAAGGTAGGAAGTCAGAAAACTAGCCTTCAATGTTCCAAATCAAATTGACAGTGCAACATAAGGCATGATGGAACAGAGGATGCCAATAATCATATGGTCACACTGGTGCCCTGAATCTCTGAGCAGTGAGAGGTTTCAGGGGTTCAGCACTACTTGGGTTTGGTTTCTTTTCAAATAAGGTCCTTGGGGGTTTACTGGTGTTTTGCAACATTTTTATTTATTATCAGGCTGTGCATTGGTGGAGGTACAGTACAGCATAAAGCATTTCAACAGCAAGCCTTCTCTTGCCACATCAGGTCCTCCAGGACAACAGCCAGCATCTCCGATATTCTTTTTATAGAGCCAAAACTCAGGTCCCTTATTCCCTTCCATATCTGACTCAGTCTGCCTCAAAACTGCCAGCCTGTTCTCCAGAGATACTGCTTACAGCAGGGGTCAGCAAACTTTTCCAGCTGTGGACCGGTCCACCGTCCCTCAGACCTTGTGGGGGGCTGGACTATATTTTGAAAAAATATATATGAATGAATTCCTATGCCCCACAAATAACCCAGAGATTTATTTTAAATAAAAGCACACATTCTACTCATGTAAAAACACGCCGATTCCCGGACCGTCCGCGGGCCAGATTGAGAAGGCGATTGGGCCGCATCCGGCCCCTGGGCCTTAGGTTGCCTACCTCTGGCTTACAGCATCCCCAACTGAGTGGGAAGGAAAAGGCACAACCCTTTTCATATATTACCTCATTCATTCCTAAGGCCAGCTGTTGAGAGCCATTGGCCTAGTATCCAGAATAGAGGCCTGATATATTAGGCTTGAGACTTCTCCTGTACAGCTTATGATCTGATGCTCTTGCATCTTTGAGCCAGTGTGCATCACCAGATTTTTATATTTTTGCTAGAAGTAGAAATTGGTGATTACCTTTTTTCAACATATTATTAGTCTTGGTTTCCTTGTGAAGATGGAAATACATTGCCTTGTTCTGAGCCATTATCAAAAACAATAAGAGAATCTTAGTATATATAAAATATACAGAGGCACATTGTTTTTTGTCCATCTGTAAAAATCATGATTTCTCCGAAAGGCTAACTAGTCTCCTTGGCAAGAGCATTTTCCAGTACAGCGTAATTGCAATATAGATTCTTGAATTTTGTCAGGTCCACGAGCTGAAAATATTTAGCTGGGCATTCTCCAAGCTATTTGTATTTCCTTGTACATTCAAGTAAAAACTTCATGGCTGGTGATATCTTAGTGTTACTAATATGAAAAAAACGTCTTTGCAGCATCTTCGCTATTAAAAAGCTATTCTTTTGCTACAATAAGCCAAAGCATTTTGAACATCAGAAACATTCCAGGATTTTTTTTTTTTTACTGTAATGGATGTTTAGTTCCTCCTTGGTTTGTTGCCTATTTAGAATATGGAATGTTGCTCTCTTTGAAGTCAGTGGACCAGCACTGATTTGCACAAGATAAAGATCTGGCCCCTAAATATGTACCCATCAAGGGTAATTGAGCTAGGTTAAACCAATCTAGGATTGTGAATATGAAGATCCTACATTTTAGAAAGCTCATTTCTCAAATGATCGCACCAGAATTTGGATACATTCGAAGGTGTATCTAGGCTCCCTTATTGCCCTTGGCAAGGAGCTGTATTGGCGCCTCTGAAGTTGGGGGACCAGAAACTCAGAAAGTTTGCTTTTGGTTGACTTTTGCACTCCACCAGTTTCTTCCTCTGCAACCATCAGGTTTGGGTCTGCTCTGTTCCGCCTCCCCTCTTCCTCTGCTGGTCTCCCTGTCTCCCTGGTTCAGCTCACTGCTTTCGCTTCTGCCTACTTCCTCCCTCCCTTCCACCCCCCCCACTGGAACTCTTGCCAACTCTTTCCCTCTTTCTTCCCTCCAAGCCCTGCTGGGCGCTCAGCTCACACTTTCAATAGCATCACTGGCCAGCTGAGGAGGGGGCCCTGCAGGGCTGCTGCGATAGCCCTTGCCAGCAACCAGATTCCTCCACCGAGGTGCCCAGATGAGCCTGCTCAGTTTGCCCGGCCACCCAAAGCACTGGAGGAGTGGTCTGGGGAGCATACGGGCAGGTGGGTGGGTTCCTAGCCACTCTAAGCCAGAGGTGTGATTTTTGCGCTGCTGCCCCCTGTCTGTGCCCTTGGCTGGGGCCAACTCCTAGGTATACCTTTGGATATGTTATGGTTTACTAACAATAGTCCCCCCCCCAAATTTTTGCTAACTTTGTATGCCCAAAGCATGTTCCCATCTCTGTCGCCCCCCCCCCCCGCACCTTAGCACTAAGGAACCAGGAAGAAGATTATTTGTGGCATTTCCTTCCTTTATTTGCCTTCTTCTTCAGATATCAAGTCAGTGGTTCTAGGGTAGATAGCTATACAGAGTTTAGTGTCAGTTTTCAGGCTTTTACAGCAGTGTTTAATCATTCACCACAATACAAAGAGTTGTATTTCTTCTTGCTTTTGTCTTCACAGATGGGGTTTTGGTCCTGGTCATATTGGGGGAACTCATTGCCCCAAAGGAATGTAAAATTTCTAATACTTCTACAAGGAATTTACTGGAGGAAGGGGGAACTACTTCTATGCAAGAAGCAATAATTCCGGAGGGGACACTCCGGAGATAAAGTTCAGACCTGTGTCTTTATACCTTCACATGTGGGTGGATGGGATTCAGTTATATTCCAGTGTCTTGGTGTACAAGGGAACAGCTTGAAAAGAGAAAATGAAATCAGAGCATCAACTTGGCTTACACTGGAGTCCATTGAATTCAAGACTAACTTTTGCTCCAGACCTTTTGTGTGACTTGGAACAAGCTCTTAAGTATCCATCTTCCTTGGCTCTCCATTCTGTTAATAAAGAAAATATTCATGTAGGTGAATGAGGAAAGTTATGGTAGAAGACTAAGGTCCAACATACACATCCCTTTGGTTTCCTAAGGAGGCTTCCATAAATGCTGTACTTCCATAAAGTTTTCCATATTGAAGTGCTCTACCAAAAAAGAAAAGAAAAAAGAAATTAAGTGTATGACATAATCTGTTGTGTATATAGCAGATTCATTCTCATGGCATGGAAATACAGTAGTTCTATGGATGCCCAAGGTGTACTCTAGGATCTATGCAAAGCCATGGCAGACTACTGTTATCTGCAGGCTCATCTTTTCTGGTGGGAAGTGGCTATCGAAGCATATGCACAAAGAATTATTCAGCACTCGGCTACAAAGCCCTTCAGTGGGCTGAAATGCAGCTCAACAAAATGTGGCTTGAGTCTGAGCACGCAGGCTGCTTCTCAAGGAAGACAGCAGAGATCGGGCATATGAGAGATATCAGGCTAGATAGAAAATAATTCTCCACTTTTTCCAATGGACAGTGCATTGGTCCATAGTCTGCTTCAACAATGGGAACCTGTGGCCCTTCAGATACTAAACTACGTTCCCACAATCCCTGATTGACCACCCTAGATGGGGTTGACGGGAACTAAAGTCCAACAACATTTGGAGGACCACAGAATCTCCATCCCTAGTCTACAGTATAGACAAGTATAGATTTGTAACAATGCATAAATTGCCTTTTTGATTGATGAAGCAAGTAAACGTGATCTGAGAGTACACCAGATGAACTGGTCTTCTGGGTCATGTAGATCTTTGTAGGCTCACTCACTACCAGGGCTACTGACAACTCTCAGACAACCAGATTACCATTTGCAAATTCAAACTGGGTTGACTTCTTCCTTTGGCTCATTTTTTTATATATATATAAAAGATCAAAAGCACTTCATGTGATTCAACACCCCCCACCCCAAACTTCCCAGCAATGCTCAGTCATCTGGTGATGCTTCTAGGTCTAAAATGATTTTTTGAGATCTAGACGCACGAGTCATGAGCCATAATAACTGGCCTTCTTCCATCTGCTCCATTTGGTATCAATTTGTGCCTGGAAAAGAGCATTTCCAGCTCCCAGCTGTGCATGCCTGCCTGCCAGGGCAGTTCTGATTAGATTTGCAGCTGTGCTTAACTTTCCTCTGCTTGCATTAGACTCTTGTTCTAGGGCTGAAGGGAAAGGGGGAGGGTGCAAAGATACAAAGGCCTGTAAGGGAGGAGCAATTCCTAAAGGGAGGAGTGCGCTATATCTTAACCACTATTATTTCCCTCTTGAAAGTATTATTTCTATGTCATTCTTCTCATCTCGTCTTTGCTAATTGCTAGCTGGGGATAGATAGCTTTGTTGGGAACCCTTCTTCACACCAGCAATGATTCTTTGCTCATCTAGACATTAGGTTGTTGTCCAGAACTTTGTAACACTGCAGAAAAGCCTGATTTATCAGCCTTCGCATTATAATATTGGGCTTCTCCTGGTCCTTGGAATACGGCAGATATTTCATCACATTCCTGGATTGTTTTTGGTTACACACTGAGATATATGAAATGTCAAGTAATTGTTTTTAACAGAGAAGCTGAATATAACGCTAGGTCCTTATAAATCAGCTATTGTAGGAAATACAGACGTTCTTGCACAGTCATGAGAAGTAGTAATACAGAGGTTTGGAATTACCTCGGAGGGAAATCTCAGCAAGAAGATAGCAGATTGAAGAAAAATGAAAGTGGACAGTTCTGCTGCTAGTTTAAAGTGATTCAGGGACTGGCAAGGCACACTATAATAGCTTCTTAGTTAGCCACCACTGTTATAGTTAACATAATATAGTCCTCCTTGTTGGGTAGACTTCTTGTTTGAAGGAAGGATGCTGCTGATTGGTGAGACCTTATTCAGGCAACCAACAGGAATCAATATTTGACTATTTTGGCTTCACATAATCTCTCATTCATCCAGCTTGAGCCTTCATCCAGCCTTTGAGTGCACCATGAACCTGTTGCTGGCACACAATGATTTGACATCAGAGTCAGCTGAAGGCAATTGGAAGAGGTAAGTTAATTTCCCATTTGGCAACTCTGAAAGGTAATGGTAGATCCCTAACAATGGACTGTAGGGTAACCATTGCTCCATGTTACTCTGCTATTGCTGTGTCTCATGTAAAATTATATTGTGTATGTGTGAAGGACACCGAGAGAGGTTGTATTGTCATATTAGTCCCATGAAATGCAGAAGTTTTAATTAGGTAAAATGGAAAGGCCTCTAAATGTCTTGTCTGAATACTTGATGTAGTTTAGAATACAGCTACTAGGCTGCCAGCTGGGACTAGCCCTAGGAATCATATACCAGTTTTGAAACAGCACTAGCGGCTGATGAATTTACTGTAAGTGGGTGGCAACTGCAGAGGGCTTTTTCATCTGTGGCTCTGCAGCTGAGAAAAGCTCTTCCCAAGGAGGCTCAACTGGTTCCTACTCATTTCTTTTTGTGCCAGATTAAGATCTTTGCATTATCACAGGCCTTTAAAAACACTGCTTTGAGTTGTTTTGGCAAACTCTGCCAACTCTGGTATGCTATGGTTCTTGTTTGTTACTGATTTAATGGGTTTTTAAAAACTTACATCAGTTTTATGCTTGCACTTGCTGTCCTGGGAATGTGCAGCTAATATACCTATTCTTGATATTTATCATTACTTATTACATGATTGCAGAACTGACAAGACATGTGTTGATCCCATTTATAATGGATTTCTGTATGAATAGCCACAGTCCAAGTGACTGCCAAATTTTATCTTAAGGTAAGGCAACGAAGGTCTGAATCAGCAGCTTCCTTTTCATTTTTGCATGATGAGTTTTGTACGATTCAGAGGTCTGAGTATGTAAGTCAGAGAGAAAGATGAAGGCAATACCATCCTCTCAGCTAAATGCAGCACTGGGCTGTGCACCAGCAGCACGACTGGGATTTCCCTTTTTCAGTACTGCCAACAAACATCTACCCACCTTCTAAGAGCGGCACATGCCTTGGTAACTGCTTTGGAGGGGACCATAGGAAGCTGATTATTGGTCCTTCTAGTATAGATATGGGGAACCTTTGGCCCTCCAGATGTTGCTGAACAAGCATGGCCAAGGATGATGGAAGGTGTAGTTCTGCAACATCTGGAGGGCCAAAGGTTTCCCACCCCTAATCTAATTGGGTATTCATCGTTATTGTTAACAATGACTGGCAACAGCTCTCCTCTCCAGAGTTTCAGTCAGGACACTTTCCATGCCCTCAACAACGATGAATTTGCAGTATCCTTCCTTAAGCTTATAGAGATATCACTAGCAATCCAGAGAATGGGAGTGAATAGCAGAGAATTAAGTCTGCCTGCTTAAAAATAAGAGAGTATAATGCACTCTTAAAACTTACTAACACCACTTTTACTGGACACTTTTGGAAGACACAGTATGGGGCCAGAAAATGGACAGTTGGTCTGACCAAATATTAATCCTTAATTAATTGTTATAAAACCATTAATATCCTGACTTTTGGCCCTAAAAAGAGTAACTCCCAATGCAACTTTCACTTATAATTAAAATATTGACCAATACAGCCATCAAAAACAAACAGAACACATTTACAATGATCAATGTAGCAGAGAAAAATTCAGCACAACTCAAATACGTAGTAAAATAAAATGGTTTTGACAGAATGTCTGTGGGAAAATGATTGTTTGTACATGAGAGCATGAGCAAAGTTTTTATTGTTACAGAGTGATCTCATAGCTAGAAGCATCCTTGGAGCATGAACAGCGCGTGAACAGCTCGTGCTGTCCTATATGATTGGCTAACGTAGCATGGCCTGATCGCTCGCATGGTCTAGTACCAAGGTCTTTATCTGCTGGCTAGAACAAATTGCTTGACTTGTATTTTTTGTATCTTTCTATTTCACACATTTCACACAATAAAAGCTGTGCTGCATTAGCCCTAGCAGCAGCCATATTTCGGAACCTATCATGGTGTGAGACTGATTTTCCTCTGAATGCCGAGCTGCAACTCGACAATTGGTGCCCCGTGTGATTGCCTTCGGACTTCACGTTGTTTTATTCAGCACTCACCAACACATCGTTCATCCACGTAGTGGATCCCTGGTGAGTGCTCCCGTGTGATTGCCTTCGGACTTCACGTTGTTTTATTCAGCACTCACCAACACATCGTTCATCCACGTAGTGGATCCCTGGTGAGTGCTCCCGTGTGATTGCCTTCGGATTCAGCACTCACCAACACATCGTTCATCCACGTAGTGGATCCCTGGTGAGTGCTCCCGTGTGACTGCCTGTTTTTCATTGTTCAGCACTCACCAACACGTCGTTCATCCACGTAGTGGATCCCTGGTGAGTGCTCCCGTGTGTACAACGTTCAGCTCTCACCTCGCCCGGCAGGGCTGCAGACGCGTCATTCATCCACGTAGTGGATCCCCGGTGAGAGCTCCCGTGTGAATGTGATTCTGGACTACGTTACGGTCTTATCAGCACTTATCTCCGCCCGGACAGGGCAAAAGGCGCCTCTCTCTCATCCTCCTACGGATCCCTCGGTAAGTGCTCCCTGCTCTTTTTGCAACTCTTGCAATCATGGGAAAATCTCTCTCTGCACCACAGAAAAAATTTTTTAAAGACCTTAAATTCCTTTTGGCCAGTAACAACCTTGCTGTTCGGAAAGCTGACCTTAAGTCCCTTATAAAAGCCCTGGACACTCACTGCCCCTGGTTCCCCCAGGACGGAAATTGGGAGTTAGACGATTGGAAAAAAATTGGACACTTCTTTCAAAATCATCCTCAGATTGATGTCAAGGTTTTGCACGCCTGGAGTAACGTCTACAAAGCTATGTCGTGCTTAACTCCTTCAAACATTCTTCTGGCTGCCGCAACAGCTTCTTCGCCCGCCCTCCCAGCTCCCGCTTTGCCTGCCTCAAACATACCTCCTAAACCGCCGGACATTCTCCCTCCGGCTTCTCCCGTCACTCCCCTGCATTCTTCAAATTCTGCAGCACCCCCCGCTGTTCCACCTCCTCCGCCCAAGGCATTTGGCACCGCTTCTACTACTCCTCTCCAAGAATCTCTCCGTGCCGCTGCTCCGTTGTTGGCTTTTGA